TTCCTCTGGAAGGGAATGGAGCGTCCATAAAATGGAAATCGAATTGATCGAGGACGGAAGTCGGCCATTTCTCGACATGCTTCTTCAAGATTGCTCCACTGGTTCGGAAGCCATGAAGGCACAAAATTCTAGGTTTTCTTTGAATGTTACTCTCGCTGCCCATGCTTGAAATTCTCTTTGAATCGCTAGCTGCTCTTTTAAAGCCATTTCTACCGACCTTAATTAAATAACTAGACTAGTTAGAGTAATGGGTTCGGTCATAGCTCTACTAACTCTTCAAAATAACATTGAGTCTGCTCAACGAGAAGTCGTCCAATGATAGACAGTCAAATCTCGTTGCATTGCACAAGACGGTGACATCTCATTTCAAGTGCCTTTCGAGTGAACTCTTGAACTATTGTTCTCATCGAGAATTCCGCGAGAGGCTATGTCATCCAAACTAAGCTAAGGGAAGTCATATCCAGCCTATTAGGCAAGATAGTAATCTTCGAGAAGTCAAACGACAAGGTCAAGAATCTATGATAAGAATCATTGCCATATACCATTCTGATTCAGACTTTTTTTCAACCTGCATGCCGTTGTTGTGCCTGCCAAATTATAAGAAGTTCGTATCAATTTCTGTCTAGTTACTCCACACATAATTATTTAATTTTTAATCCTCACATTAAAAAATATACGCATCTAAATACATTATAATTAATTTGAGTAATTAATGAAACGTTAATTAGCTTAATTACATTATAATTAACTCTTTTTAATTCTCGCATCTAAATATTATAATAATTATATTAAAATGTTAGAAATATACAATTTTTTTTAAAAAAAATTATGGCCATCGATGAAAATTATTTAAATAATTAAATACTTTAATTATGATTTAAATAAATTATAATTAATCATCTTTAATCATCGTAATTTTGCGTGGTTTAAATTAGGTTTTAAATTTATAAACAGAAGTTTACCGGAAATGGGCAAGGGCCCACAACGATTTCATTCGACCCATTGGGCCATCTTTCAGCCCATCTGAAAGCCCAAAGGGTCGGTTCGTAACGGAAAGACGAGCTTAGCTCTCGAGCTCTCCGCAGCCATATAAAGTCGCCGCTTTTCGAACCAAAACGGAATCCGATCACCTCAAGGGAAGAATGGCTCGTCCTATGACCGGTATCCACGCTCCTAAAACCCCTGCTGTCAAGCTCCCATTCTCCATTTCGTCTTTCACTTCAGCCTCCCTCGGCAGAGGAAAAACGAGGCTGAGGATGCTCTCCGCCGCCTCTTCTTCGTCTCCGGTGAAGGCGAGCCTGAGCCACCGTCAAGATTCGCCGCGTAATATATCCTTGGATGCTTTGATTAAAGGGGATCGTAGAGAGGAGATCGTCGGCGCCATAGACAAGTCTTTGTTCAACTGTCTATCTGAGACGAATCTCCACTTGACGGTTCCTGGGATTAAGTCCAAAACCAGGGGCAAGGTGATCTTTAGCGGAATCGGAATAAGGTTCCTTTTTACATTTTTTGAATGGGTGATGTCTGTTTCTTATTTGGTTGCTGGAGAAGAACTGATTAACTAAGAATGCGAGATTGTAGAGCTCTTTGCTTTATAGTGACCGAAACTTAGTGATTTTACCAGTGTTTCCCACTGTGCAGGTGAGAGATATATATGACTATGGAGATTATCTTATTTTGGTTACAACTGATCGACAGAGTGCGTTCGATAGAGTTCTTGCTTCCATACCCTTTAAGGGTCAGGTAGGGAGGTTCTTTACTGATACTGAGAATTCCTTATTTATTATGAGGCAAATCACTGTTGGGATTGGGAATTGGTTGTATATAGTTAGGATGGGTATCGACTTGTTCTTAGTTTTTTAATTCTTGGCTCCCAATTTCTCTTGTTCTACATCGTTCAGGTTCTTAATGAGACCAGCTTATGGTGGTTTGACAGAACACAGCACATCACTTCAAATGCAGTTGTATCAGTCCCGGATAAAAATGTCACGATTGCAAAGAAGTGTTCAGTTTTTCCCGTTGAGTTTGTTGGTGAGTCATTATGGAATTCTCAGCATCCTTTCCATTTGGATTGAATTGAGCATTAGTAACTATAGAACATGGCAATGTGAAAAAACAAAACAGCTGAAGAAATATAGGACAAAGAAACTAAAGGGAAGGATGTTTTGTTAGTTCATCAGTTTGCTGACTATGGAATAACACAGGGAGTCAACTGACTATGTTGCAACTTTCCCGGTTATTGGAAGGAAAAGATATTCTGTGTTGAAGTTGTTGAATTTTCCTTTTTTGGGGTGTATACTTGTTGATATATTTAGTGTTCTTCATCTTCATTTTATGTCTTTGTAAATGGATGTGTCCCCATGATTCCATGGTGTAATATGGTCATCACCTTCTGGATTGTAGTTAGAGGATTTGTCACTGGAAGCACGGATACATCATTATGGACGGTGTACAAGAACGGGGTGCGAAACTACTGTGGAAATGTTCTTCCAGATGGTATGTTTTCTTTATCGTTTTGTCTCTTCCCATTCGAAATTTCTCTGACTGATCCACGTAATCGCCTCTCAACTATAATAGGCTTGGTTAAAAATCAAAAGCTGTCTTCCCATATACTTACTCCAACAACCAAGGCTGATACTCATGACGTTCCTGTGACACCAGATGAGGTATACCCTTCTGTTATGAGCTTGTAGGCTTTAGGCATTTTCTTAATTAGCTTATAATTTATGTTCCAGTCAAATTACTTGTGTTGTTTACATACATGCTAGCTTTGCAGATCCTTGAAAGGGGCCTGATGAGTCGAGCTGATTATGAAGAAGCAAGTAGAAAGGCTTTAAGCTTGTTCGAGTACGGGCAGGTAAGTTCGTTATGTTACAGTTTCCATCTTTCGTCCCGAGACAAATTAATTGGAGTGATGTTTTCGCAAGAATCCTGACTATACCTGTTTACAATGTGCCCTCATGTTTTACCTTTTAAAGTGGATTTGGTGCTGACATTATGTTGAAAGTTTGAATAAGCAATCTAATTGGTCCTTGAATTCATTTTCCAATACACAATGTGTAAGATCCCACATCGGTTGGAGAGGGGAACGAAACATTCCTTATAAGGGTGTGGAGACCTTTCCCCCTATTGGACGCGTTTTAAAACCTTGAGAGGAAGCCCGTAAAGAAAAACCTAAAGAGGACAATATCTGCTAGCGGTGGGCTTGGGCTGTTACACAATGTCTTTCATAGTGGCCAAAGAAGTAGTTTTAACACTCTCCAATCTTGATATTTCAGAAAGTGGCTTTGGAGCATGGTATGATACTGGTCGACACAAAGTACGAATTTGGAAAGGGAGAGGATGGATCTATTCTTTTAATTGACGAGGTTCAATACTCTTTCTAACTTTTTCTAGACTTCACATCTATTGCTAATTTATGTAAATATTTGAGTCATTATTGCAAGAGATGATTCTTTCCCTACTTGCAATTCAAGGTGCATACACCTGATTCAAGCAGATACTGGATTGCACAGTCCTATGAGGAACGCTTTCAAAACGGCCTCGAGCCTGAAAATGTTGATAAGGTGCGTTTTCTGTTTGCATATTTTAGTACCATCTGCATTAGTTTATGAACTTTACATTATCCGTATAGGAATTCTTGAGGCTGTGGTTCAAAGATAATTGCAATCCATATGAAGATGAGGTATGGTCTTGATATTTTCTCTCAACTATTTGATGAAGTTATTAATTCTTACTTATGCCATTTGTACTGCCTTTGGATGTTGAAATATCATTCATGGTTTCGTGAAATATGTTCAGGTTCTCCCTGATGCTCCTGAAGAGCTTGTACGTGAACTGTCATGGAGGTATGTATTTTATTTTCCTCGACGTTATTCGATCCTTTCATTTATACAAATTGAATGGCTAGGAAAACAAGCTACATTCTACATATTCAGACCTTGGGGACTAAGTTGCAAAAGGCTTCTCTGTATTTCTTGAGCTTTTATGACTTCTCAACTCTTATACCTCTTTGGGAGATCCCACATCTGTTGGAGAGGAGAACGAAACATTCATTATAAAGGTGTGGAAACCTCTCCCAAGTAAACGCATTTTAAAATCTTGATAGGAAGCTCAAAGAGGATAATATCGGCTAGTGGTGGGCTTGGGCTGTTACCAATGGTATCAGAGCTAGACATTGGGCGGTGTGCCAACAAGGACGTTGGTGTCCAAGGGGGGTGAATTGTGAGATCCCACATTAGTTGGAGAGGAAAATAAAGCATTCCTTATGAGGGTGTGAATACCTCTCCCTTGCATACATGTTTTAAAACCTTGAGAGGAAGCGCATGAGGGAAAGCCTAAAAAGGACAATATTTACTAGCGGTAGGCTTGGGCTGTTGCAGATCCATTCCTAACTATCGACTCCATGGTATCAGAGCTAGACATCGGGCGGTGTGCCAACAAGGACGTTGGTCCCCAAGGAGGGTGAATTGTGAGATCCCACATCAGTTGGAGAGGAAAATAAAGCATTCCTTATGAGGGTGTGAAATCCTCTCCCTAGCATACATATTTTAAAACCGTGAGAGGAAGCGCATAGGGAAAACCCAAAAGGACAATATTTACTAGCGGTAGGCTTGGGCTGTTACAGATCCATTCCTAACTATCGACTCCGTATTCTTGTTCATGATGGCAGATATATCTTCTTGTACGAGACAATAACCAAATCCAAATTTGAGGTGCCATTGTTAGAGGTAGATAGATTTCATTATAAAATGGTCTATGTGTATTAGTTATGTCAACCATATGGTTGATGGTATTGACTATTTTTGGTTTTATGCAGGAACCATTACATGATCGTATATCACGAAACGTTAAATCGGCACTGGCAGCACTAAAATGATCATAGAGATTGGTACTTAGTAGCTAAAGCTAAGTTATCAACATTAATAAACTCGATAAACTTTGGTTACCCTGTGTGGTGCCTGCTGTGTTCCATGTAGCATGGATGCAACTTGCAGAGATTGAATAATGAAAACTTATGAAATATATGATGTTTTTTCAGTTCGTACTTTATCTACCTAACTATACTTGAATCGACCAAAAAAGAAAAACGATAGATTTTAATCATGACATTTCAACCCAGCAAAATTGTTCTCGAGAAAATTAATACCTCTGTCCAAGTTTTGGCTTCTCACACATCCCTCCATGAGAATCTCCCATGTCTTATAATTCGGAGTACCACCTCTCTCTAATGTGTGCATATGTAACGACTCGGCCTTCTCTAACAATCCATTCCTCACATATGCGCCCAGAAGAACATTGGAGACTCTAATGTCATAATTACGACAATCGAGCTCCCATTCCTTAAATATTTTCTCTGCCTCGTTGAGATCTCCTAGCTTCACCAAACATAGCAATATACACATGTAGTTGGCACAAGTGGGTCTGTCACTTACAGCTTTACTAGCTGTCCAAACTCGAAGAACTCCCTCCTTGTCGTTCAAAGTGGCATATAATGTAATTAAGAAGAAATATCCAAGCCTGTTACCTGAGGATAGCTTCTTCTCTGCAGCTTTCAAGGCTGCAAACGCTTTGTGAACAAGGCCTGCCTGTGTATACACTTTAGCCAGGGTAGATAGAGTGCTCCATCCCACTTGAACATTCTTATCACTCAGCATTTCTTCATACACCAATTCCACTGACCTAAACCCATATAGCTCACTGCAAGCATTCATCCAAAGATTGTAGGAGAGAACATTTCTCAGTATGTGATTTTGCTTCATGTCCTTTATAACAAGAGGAACTTTCTCATTTTGAGATGTGGCGACATACAGTTTCATCATCTCATTGTAAAGATGCGGATCCACAACCAGTCCCAAGCCCTTTAGCTTTGCCATGAAAGCCTCAGCTTTCTCTGTGTTCTTCTCTTTGACATAACCATGAAGAAGAAGGAGAGATGAAGCTTTCTGAGAGGCTATGTTGGGCAATTGATTGAAGTGTTCTTCAGCTTTCAGCAAACCGTGCACTTTGATGGTCAATTCCAATCGGAGAGCATGATCAGCCGGGGACATACGGATCTTATTTTGAGTTTCCATCAACATTAGTACCTGAATGTATAGCAATTTTATAAGAAACCTATGAATTATACAGAGAGAAGCATTACTTTGTGATCATGATTCTGTTCTTCCATTGGGATAAAATGAAGAAATTCCAATTTCAATTTCCAAACTGTTAATTGCCAACCTCTAGTGCACGCTCAAATCGCTTCGGTTTGCAGAGCTTCTTGACAACACGCCGGAGCTTAGTGATTGAGGTTCTTTGAGCTTCACTGTTACCACTCTGAAGTACGGTGGTCACGCTACTCCGAGGTTGCTTGAGCTTCATAAAGTCCTGCTTGAAGTTGCCATTGTCGCCACCTTTTTGTAGGGTTTTGGGAGATACGGCAGAAATGATGTCCGAAGAGTCGACTGGCGAAGTATGTGACGATATAGGCCTCCATGCTCGGAGAAGAAAATTAATTCTGTAATTATGGAATCAACAGCAGTTTGGTTCAGATCAGAAGTGGATAATAAAACGATGAAACTCGGAGCTGTTGTAATGATAGCTAGGGAAACAGAGAGGTAAAAGTACAGGGCTTACCGTCCGGTGCCGGAGCGGAGAGTCGTCTTCATCACCGATTTCGTTCGAGCGGCGACCTCTGAAGCGCCGAGCCACCGAGTCATCGATTGCTTTGTGTGCGCATTGGCACAAAGGTATACAATGGTCTTCCCTTTTGTGGGTCCAAAAAAACCGAAGGTATAAATATTGCCCTAAACCGGCGACACAACGCCTTATTCATCAGCGCCGTTCGATATTTGTTAGACTTGAACCCCAACAAAGCGATCCCCATACCATTACCGCGATCATAACACAAAATAACCCAATAAACCTCCAGAGGCCCGGTCTGTGGGAGCACGGAACACCGTACTTTGCCGGCGACCGGCGAATTTCTTTCGTTTCTGTCGTTCGAGTTCATTCGATTTGTCTTCTCTCACATTAGCATCTAATTGTTTAACCGGTTGATGCAGTTCTGATTTCTTATTACATATATATAAGTTCTCGTGATCAATAGTTGCATTTCTGCGCGTTTACTGCGATTTTGCTTCGTTATGAAACGCCTCGGCTGGCTAGGGCTGGTGAGTTTACACGTATCAGTATTTGTGATCAATTGTCTTCATCGCTGCTCTTTATCGACGTTGCTAATACTATTAAATATAGTGCCGGCGGCAATTACTCTCATCTGTAGGAGGGTCGTCCATTGATCCCCGGCTCCCGCTCGGAAAAGTTTCATCGTTACGCCAATTTTTTTCTTGTGCCCGAGGTAATTCCTTGCCACCTTCAGCTGAACGATTGACGAGTTCACCATTTCTTTCTTCTTTCTCTCTTCCATTCTTTTTTGGCCTGACCATCTGAGCTTTATTTTCTGTTTTGTTGATTTGCTTTTCGGGCTCTAAATGTGAATCAGTGTTGCAACCATGTTCTTCTGCCGTCGGTAAAGCTCCTGACTTCGCCACAGGATTTCCGGCGAGTAGATGTTTCATACATGCCACAGGTGTTTCCTTCTCTTCCATTACCTGCAGCCCTAATGACAGTTTAATTCAGTAAATGTACCTAATATTTAAGGTAGTATTGAAATCTTGCTCATCCGGACTGTATCATTTTGCATGTCTCTAGGTTCATGTCATTCTATTGAACGAGATTACTACGAAATTCTCGGGGTTCAACACAATGCCAGTCGAGAAGAGATTAAGAAGGCATACCATGCGGTGAGTGGATCAATGAAATCGAATATGAAGGGAATGTGATTGTAACTTCTTGTAATTTTAAGTTTCCCCTTTTATATATATATTTTCTCGAAGTTTCTACCTTACTCGCCTATGTTCTCTATAATTTTAAGCTTCCCTCTCAACTATGCCATTGCCTTCAGTGTGCGAAGCAACTCTCTAATATATTTGTGTGTTTTATGCATTCTATTCATCAATAGCTGATTTCTATGGGTTTCTAAACTTTTATGCTTGTTTTGTCTTAGTCTGAAATCTTTATTCAAAATATCTACTGAATTCTTTGAATAATTTTAGTGACAAAGACTAAACTACTTTTATGGAAATGTTACGAACCAAAACAGGTCACTTATTATTTATTCTTTGTTATCTGTACCTTTTGTTGCACTACACACATCTATGGCCTAATAAGATTGATGAAAATTCTGTGTTGTTAACCAATGCAGTGGCCACATTTCTTGTCACCTATTTTATGCCTTTTCTTTTCAACAGATACCTCTTGGCTCGCATTCACCTGCTAAAATTTTAATTATTGCTTATATTGTGCAGTTGGCCAAAAAGTACCATCCGGATGCAAACAAGAACAATCCTTCTGCCAAGAGGAAATTTCAGGAGATAAGAGAAGCCTATGAGGTTTGTTGGTGTCATTGGTTTTAAGTCTTCCATATCTCCTTCACTGTGGATGTTTGTTTTTTTCACTAGCCAAATATTTTTACGTTCAATACCTACGGCAGATTCATTTGTTCTTTTTCTTGGACATTTCAGACTCTACAGGATTCTGAGAAGAGATCCCAATATGACCAGGTGGCAACTCCTAAATTACTACAGACATATTCTATATCTTCTGCTGCTTGTGCCACTTTTCTTCTTATTTGTTTATTTGTTTTATTGTTAATGATAACTTTTATGGATAAGTGAAGATAGCTGTTTGCTTTATGCTGACTGAAGATAGCTGTTTGCTTTATGCTGACTTGTTTGTACTGTGTATATCTATGTGGCTGAAGAGGCGTGGTGGAGAATTTGAAAATGCAGGTTTTGGTACTGGTGACGCAGATGGGTTTAGCTATACTTATCGAACCCATTTTTCTGACTCATTTCAAAAGATTTTCTCTGAGGTACTTGCTTTTAACCTCTTTATTCTTACTCACCAATTGAATTGGAAGTTCTAAAGTATTTTGATGCTTCACAGATCTTTGAACATGAGACCAGCCGTTTTGCCTCAGATATTCAGGTTTTTAGTTTGTGCCCAATTTTTATTTTACTCAGTTCTCCTAAATTTCTAATACAAACCATGTAATATGCTTGATTTTTTGTAGGTTGCCCTGTCATTATCTTTTACAGAAGCTGCTAAAGGATGCACAAAGCATTTGTCCTTTGATGCTATGGTTCCCTGTGATTCTTGCTGTAAGTAAGCCTGGTTGTCTGCAAAACTCAAGTCATGTTGAGATCTAAATAGGTCATACCGATTAATGCAGAAGTGTGGATTACATAGACACACATGCACCCACACACAAAATGTTATGATTGCTGATTGCTGATTGCTGATTGCTGATTGCTTGAATTGTAGTTTTTATCTATTTGCCTTGCGTTTACCCTCAGTTAATTTATTCTCAAGCAATAGAAGAGTTTTTGCAACTTTGTTTCCTTTTTTAAGTTTATGGCCTTTGGCCTTTGTTTTAGATGGGCGTGGCTTTCCAGTGAATGCAACGAAAAGAAGCTGCCCTACTTGCAGAGGTTTAGGTAGGGTAAGTGCCTTCAAATTATAAATTACGTGCAAATCGGGAACAATGCTTTGTCAATTTTCATGCTATTTTCTTTCAGATTTGAGTAGTTTAATCATCAGGTTACTATTCCTCCATTTACATCAACATGCACCACTTGCAAAGGATCGGGTCAAATCATTAAGGTTTGATGTATACTTCAAAGATTTTAGTTCTTTTAGATCTTTTTCCTTTCTAATCTTGTTTCAATGATTTATTTCTTTGTTTTTCTTTTTTGGTATACTTCAGGAATTATGTGTGGAATGCAGGGGAATGGGGGTTGTGGCGGGTGTCAAGGAGGTCACAGTTACCATACCTGCTGGTTGGTCATAACCACTTGATTGTTTATCATGTTGCATATTGAATGAAATAGAACATGATCAATATATTATGTAGAATTTATTGGGCAACTGCAACACTTTAGATAAGCCTACTTGAATTCAACTAATTGGATTCGGTTATAATTTATTTTACTTGTCAGCTATCAATTTAAAATGCTTTAATTTCGTAAACATTTTTTTTCTTTTTCAAAAAGGTTAAGTTGTTAGATTATATTTAATTTATTTATTAGAAATATTTTTTTAATTCTGTAAAATTTGTTTCTTTTTTGTTACTTGAAACACGCTTGTGTTGGTGTTATATTTGAATCAAAGTGAGAATGAGATACTGCAATGACTTTAACTTGAATGTGGTGTCCATAAACTTAAGTTGTTAGGTTATGTTGGAATTGTTCACAAGAATTTTATTCTTTAGTGTTCTTCAATTGTATTCTTACATGAACAACTTTTAACTCACAGAGTACATGAAACTTCGTAATGTTTTATTCTCATGTAGAATATTTTTTTTAATATTTATATATTTATAATTATTGTAATGCATTAGGGGTTGATTCTGGAGATACCATTCGTGTACCAGAAGCTGGTAGTAGCGGTGGACGAGAAAGTCAATCTGGCAACTTGATTATTAAATTGAAGGCAAAAACTCACTTATATTTCCCTTCAGCTTACTTTAGCAATGTCTGTCCTTGTAAATGCACTTGCACATGACTTGCTAACTATGCTCAATGTGACCACCTGTTCCTTCTCCCTGTTTCAAGAAAACTAAGCCCTTCAACAATGTTGCGATCCACTAACTTATATTTGATCTCATATTGGAGCTGTTTTCTGTAAACACACTGATAGCTACCTTTTGGAACTTCATCATCTAAACTAAAACTTTGTTTCATATGAAAATAAATAACTTATGTTTGATCTTTGATTGTTCACTTGTTCTTTATTAAATACCTTGTGGCTATATTTTTTAATAATAGATTTCTTTTCTTTTCTTTTTTTAAAGAAAAAGTATTTTTGAACTGTTTTCATTATTTCCACGATCAATTTTCTTCTCATGCCATGTACAAACGATCTCTATTTAGTACTGAGTTCAATTTAAATTAAGGGCAGTGTGCTATTATGTGCTCTTCGCATGATTTCCTTTTTACTTTCAATGGAATTGTTTTCTTTAGTGTTTTTAGTCATGAATGTCAAATCGCCAGATTAATAAAGGGATAGCCATTTTCCCTATTATTCTAATATTATTTTTTCAATGTTGTAGGTTGCTGAAGATCGTGTCTTTAAGAGGGATGGTGTGGACATTTATGTGGATTCTAATGTCAGCTTTACTCAAGTGAGAAATTAAATCCTTATTGGGGTTTGAATGTCTATATTTTTTCATGAGTGGATATGCTTTTCAGTGGAAGTTTTTCTCTGGTCACCCGAATCTGCTCACTTGTCATGCATTTTTCTGAATTAATATTTTCTCTCTATTCAATCTTTATAGATTTGACCTTCATACTGGCTTATAAGTTATTGCTCTTTACTAGTTGTCTCTAAGTAAACATCTTTTTCTCATATTGTCTTATGGCAGTTCGCCATACTTACTATCCATCGTGCCCATTTTCAAATTATTAAAAGAAATGAAAGTTATTTCGTGGGATTGTCGGGGTTTTTGTCTCTTTGCGGGAATTGTTTCTTCTTTTGAGTTCCTTCTCATTTTTTTATCTTGTTTTTATTTTTTGTACAATAGTTATTACTTATTATTTTTATTGTGTTATTCATTAATTACTCTTACCTTTGTCAATCTATATTCATCAAATTTGGCTTCAAATTGCTCTTTCAGGCTATTCTTGGTGGCAAGGTTGAGGTTCCAACGTTGTCAGGCAAGATAGAAATAAATGTAATGCTTAAAATCATTGTTCTTATCAATTCTTTTTCTTACATAGTTGTTTTCCTATATTTCAAAATAGCTTGCAACTACAAGAAATCTGAACTCAGAGAGTAAAGGGAAACATGGTATATTTAAGACTTTTCCTTTTAAGAAAAAAGCTATTGTTGTGCCAAAGAGAATCAGATTTCAAGAACAGTAAAAGGAATTTCACAATGACAATCCAATTGGACGGTATAGAGTAAGGAGAGAAATTGCAAAATTCTGTTAGAAACACAACTCCAAAATGAAAGTAAAATCAAAACTATTGGACTCCCGTATCGCATTGGATCCTTGCTTCTAGCCATTTGTTGCGAGTAAGTTTGGGTTAGACGGACTTCGAGTACAATAAGCTGATCTAAAGCCTCTAGTTGCGGGCTCGCTTCTCCACAGCCGACGTCTTTTGGTTGGATTTGTGGATGATTTATGAAAATATTTCTTATAGTTCAACTTGCCCTTTTGGACTCCATAAACTTTTCGCTTCGGTAATATTAAGTTTACTTCACAGAGTCATGGGATTTGACTTCCAACATGAGTGCTATGATCTGGAGGTTGAAGGATGGCTTTGTTTAAAGTTTAATGGCTAAATTGGAGGGATTTACTTTGTCTAATGCCATGGATAAGAGATTGTGGTGTGCTGACTTATGCATCTCCAATTCTTGCTAATCTTTTTTGGCTAAGATTGTTAGATAAAAATCCCAAGATTTACAATCATTCGGGATGAAGTCATTTTGATCGAGGGGTTTTAGCATTTGTGATATAGGAGTTTACACATCCATGAGGGGTTCATGAGAGTTCTTAGATCAATTAGCTAGGGTTCTTAAGTTACCAAGAGAGCGGGTAATACTCCTAGGTCTCTTTTTATTTATTTGTTATTATTATTTTTTTGCTATTTTAGTATCAGTTTACTTGCGTAGGATAAATTGTGTTATTAAAATGTACCTTAAATTGTAGATGCACTAATTAGAAGACCAATCAATTTCGAAGTTATTACTTATACATTTAATTTTCACGAAAATAAATAGTGAGCACGATAAATGCAATTTAAAGTTTTAAACTCACTTGACGTTGCTTTTATTCTTGAATCAGATACCAAAAGGCGTTCAGCCGGGACAGCTCTTAATACTGAGAGGGAAAGGTATGCCTTTTCACCCCATCTTTTCGTAGAACTTTTGATTTAAGAAAAGAAAAGGGAAAAGCCAGAATACCTAACCGTGGAACTGGTCCAGGATTGCCAAAACATGGACTTTTTGTTGATCGTGGAGATCAATATGTGCGCTTCCGTATTAAATTTCCCACGTAGGTTTTGGTTTTTTATTTTCTACTCTTCGTCATATTTTCTCTGGCATTATGATAATCTCTGTTTGGTTGTGTCCACAATTTTTACTAGAAGTTTTGAAACAGTATGCTGCCGGTTCTGTATGAACTGATTCGCGTTTTCTTTCATGGCTTTTAGTGAAATAAATGAACGACAACGTGCCATTTTGGAAGAGTTTGCTGAAGAAGAAATAAAGAATGGGATTGACAACTCAAATGAAGCAAGTTGGTCAGTTGACTCCTTATGTACCCTGCATGCCTAATGTTTTCATTCTGTATCTCCCTTCTTGCTGTTATGCTAATTTATTAATCATTTGACGAAGGATATGCTGATCGATCACCTTTTTAAGTCCTCCTAGAACCTTGCGAGAAATCTTCTAAAACAAATAACTAATGACATTCTAACATAGGATCTTAGTTTATGTCTTGACTCGGCAACTACCTTGAAGCACACTAAAGATAGCTCTGACATGGCGAGGGAGAAAAAACTGTAATTGAGTAATCGAGACATTTTATCTTGCTATTTAAGAGTGATGAGACCATTACAAAAACTATGGATAGTAAATTCTTCATTTTGGTTGCACAAAACAATAGAAATTAGGAGTGAGAATGGTCTTTGGTTCTCTCCTTTTAACAACATCATCTATAGACTTCTCCATGCATAATACGCACCCACTGAAACACTTGGCATTTGTTAAGATGCTTCGTGTCACTAACCATAATAGAAGAGAGTAGATTGTGATTTCCATGTTGTAGTCAAGAGTAGTAGTGACATGTGAGTGTCACCTGTTAGACCATGTCGAGAGCCAAGAGAGAAGTGTCATGATGCGACAGAGGAGGATAGTGCATCATCCAACACAGGCAAAATTGTCAAGCTAAGATGTAAGCAAGAACAGAAGCAACAGTGTTGCCAAGAGTGTCAAAGACAAGCTTAATGGGGGCAAGATAGGCCTTGGAACATGACCCTGAAAATTGGGGTTCCTTCATGAGTTTTGACAAGCGACTCTAGAGTTTAGTCTGTTTAAGTAAAAGATATAAGCTCATCAAATTTTGTGTCAATCGAACATTAGGCGGACGCTCCACGTTATTGTATGATTTTCACCATTTTTACGTAGATGAGAGCTAGATTAAATGTACTTTAAAATGTACTGTGGGGGAGGGGGAGGGCGTGATGTTGGCTCTTCACCAAGGGATAGGCAGTCTCATTATTTTAACTAAGTTAGAATGATTAGGACATGGGTCAAGGAGTGGAATGGAGCTTATTCTCTCCCAGTATCCAAACTGTAACGGAGGGAGAGGTAATTCGTCTCTGCAGAGACGAATAAACCCCAAAATATGGAAATGGTTTCAGACAAATTCTCAACCTCCATAATTTGTTATTAAGAAACTTCCGGAGGTCCCTTCCCCCTCCCAACCCACACTTTACTTCGCAAGTTTTATTTTAATACATTTTTTCAATCAGAAGCATTTCATTTCTTACTCAATGGCTTCTTTACCTTCTCTTCTGTGCTGATTGTAATGAAGATCCTAAAATGAAAACAGGCTTTATCAGCAGCTCTCTACTGGTTGAACTTTCAGGTGGCAACAAATTCTTAACCATGTTGGGGAACCTAAGTTTGTTATTGAATTGTCCCTACTTATCTTGCTCGCTGTGTTCCTGAGTAAAACAATGGGCTGAGCAAGCTCCAGAAGTGGCAGTGGGAGATATTTTGGCAGGTCACCGTTGAAGTGGGAGGTCCACCTATTCATTCAATAAAGTAATGTAGATAGATACAAGGTATTCTATTTTCTCTGGTATTCTTCTTTCCAGTTTATTTGGTCGTTTTAATCACCGTCTTTGGAAACCAATCTTAAATACATTAATTGAATATGTTATCAGGCAATAAGCTTTACTATCTTTAGTTTTACTTAAAAAAAAGATGTCCTAGCGATGATAACCTATCAATTAGCCAATATGAACATAGCTCAAACAATTACAACCCTAGTTCATTTTGTGTCTTGTGAACATGATTTCCCATTGCTAATGTTTGCTGGTCAATTTTTCAGTACCCGAGTTGCCGTTTCAAATTCGTGAAGAGTATCCGAGTTACACTTGTTTGGAAAATTTATATAGATATTACAACAAGTAGATGGACGATCTTTGAATCTCTTGTGGAATGAAGGTCTTTCTTTTCCTTCCTCCACAAGCTTTCTGTAGGTTTGATCCATCATTCTCTGCAACTACTCGCAACACTTGAGAACTGTAGCCATTTTGAGATTCTGACGGCTGAGCCTTTTGCTATGAATAATTACACAACGACCCACAAACTAAAGATTCTTTGAATAGTGATTTTGGGAGAGTTGATCTCAAATATTAGTACGAGATTAATACATTTTCAACTCTCTTCTTTATTATTGCTATTTTTGGACAGTGGTTCATCACTAAAACTAGTAGCTTCCCTACATACAGAACCTTCAAACATTGGGAATTTGAATACCACTTCCTTGAGCTCTTGGTAGCTGCAGCTTCTTCTTGCTGCTTTGCTTAAACTCGCCATAAAAATAAGACACAAAGCCCCAGAGGTTGAGAGCCAGAGAGACGCCCTTCTCCGCCTGAAATTTCTCCCGGAAAAAGATGACGGCGAGAATCTCCGTCGCCGGCAATAACAGAGCAATTACTACACCTGAAAACAGGGAGGAAGAGTAGAAGATAACTCCGACGGCACCCACAAAGAAACACTGCCAGATTACGGTGCTCAACGCTAATATCACGTAGTATTTCGTCTTTCCCAGCCCAAATTCTGTTCCTTCCCTTGGAATTGCCTGTTCCAATTGTTCATCATTTTAGATTTCACAAAAAAAAAAGATGTTGGCCAATAGAAAGTTGACACTTGTATGGTCAGTATTGGGTAAGTTGTAATTGAAATATCAAGGATTGGACCCCGTGGTTGACCCCACGTAATCATTTCATTTTAGATGAGATCTCTAACTTCTAAGATGATAAGATATCAGTACGCGTTCAACTAAAATAATTGAACTTTCTAAATTAATTTCAAATTCAATAAAATATACACTTTTGATTAACACCTCTCCTTTTTATTCAAAATAAGTAATAATGTGAATAAGGATATCTATCCCCGTTCATACAATGTTGAATCACGCATCATTAAATATTTTTTTATCATATTCTTTTAAAATTGTCTAACTTCGATCTTTCAAGATTGATTATCAACTTATTGTCGTTCTCCCACATCTGTGAAGGAGAACGGAACATTCTTTACAATGGTGTGAAAACTTCTCTTTAGCATATGCGATACCCAAAGAGAACAATATTTGCTAGCGGTCTTAGCAGATGTGAAACCCAAAGAGAACCATATTTACTAGTAGTGGACTTAAACTGTTATAATGGCTTGGGCTGTTATAAATGGTATCAGAGCCAAATACCGGTTGACATGTCATAGAAGTCTGAGTCCCGAAGGAAGATGAACACGAGGTGGTGCGCCAACAAGGGCGTTGGACTCCGAAGGAAGGTGGATTGTGAGATCCCACGTAGGTTAGAGACAGGAATGGAATATTTCTAGGGTGTGAAAATCTTCCGTGACAGACGCGTTTTAAAAGCCTTCAGGTGAAGCCCAAGTCCCAAAAGGGGAAACTCATGTCTCCCTTGGTAATAGTTCTTATGATTTTGCTTTTGGTTTTTCAAAAAGACTCGTATTAATGGAACTCACGTTCCTATATACCTATAATCTCTTCTTAATTAGCTAATGTGGGACTTCAACAATACTCGAACACGTTGAAAATAACCGAAGAACATGAGATAAAAAAACGAAAAACCAGAGAAAGCTGTGGAATTGGATAGAAATCTGACCTGAAAATCATTGTTGATGAGCATTCCAATGGTACATAGAATCGTAGCAAATAAAGATATCACGAACTGAGTTTCCAACACCAACGTATATGTAAGATTCTGTTTCGCTTTCTTGTACGTCAATTCAATCAACGGCAACACAAATCCGTACAACACCGACGCCCCCACCGTCATCAAGAATCCGGCGACGTACTCTTTATTCGACTCTCCGGCCGGCCGGTCTCCGCTAGAGTGCAACGCCAAAATTGCCCCACCAAGCGTCAATAAAACGACGGCGTTTACAGAGTAGCTCGTGAACCTCTGTTTCACCAGCAAAAACGCAAACCCAGCCGTGAACGCCAACTGTGACGCAATAATCAGCGAAGAAGTCGAAACCGGCAGCCGCGCCACGCCGTAAGCGTAAAGGTAATTATCGAGTCCAGTGAGAAGGCCAATTACAGCAGAGGCGAAGAACAAACGCGGCTTTATGAAGATGAACTCCGTCGTCGTTCCAGCGGCGGAAGTGCGACGGCGTTGGAAGTAACTAATGACCAAAGGGAGTAAAATAATCGGCCAACCGCCGGTTAACAGCCAACTGGAGAGCCAGACGCGGTTGCCGCCGTGAATGAAGTAGAGGCGTAGAATCAGAGGGCCGCCGCAATTGCCGATGGACATCAAGACACAATTAAAGGCGAGGAGGAACTTTTTGACGGTGGCTTCCGGCGATTGGTTTGGTTGTTCATGTTTTGTTTGATTATGTACGAAAGATTCTGAGGGTTGGGAATGCATTTTAGAGTTGTGATCAAGGAATTGTGAATGGACGAAATTGGGAAGAGGAGCTGACATTTATGGACGATGGCAGAGCAATGTGGACACCAAATCGGTGGGGACATACATTACAATTCCCACCTGCATGATTAGTGCTTGTTGTGGTCGTATCCCATCGGAAAATGGTAGAGACGAAGGTATGATATTGTCCATTTCGAGCATAACTCTCGTGGCTTATGTCCGAACCAATGGAGAAAGTATTCCTTGATTATAAACCCATGATCATTCCCTAAATTAGCCGAAGTGGACTTTCATCATCTAACAGAAAAAATTTTAGATCAATTTAAAATTTTTGGTGAATTGGGTTCGTTACTCGAGCCACTCCGAATAAAGCTCACAATCTACTATGATTTGGGTTGGATGAGTTCTCGGGTTATTTGAATATCTCTAATTGGATTTTCGAGGATGACGAGTATCACCGTCTTAATGAATAGATTTCTAGTTAAAATGGTAGAAGCTAACCTCTAAATTCCATGTTTGAAACGATTGAATTGAAAGTAAAATAGAGTTAGGTTAAATTATAAACCCTAAATTGTAATCCTATACACCGGAGTTGTTAAGAAATTGAATGGCTTTTAATTTCAATTTTATTCTTTTGAAATTTTTGTATTCATCTTTAATATATCGTTTTGAATAATTTGTTAACAAACACGAGTGCCCTGAAACATTTCTCCACCGGCTATACTGGTGCCATTTCTCCACCGGCTTTACTGGTGGCAAGTCGCTTTTAAATTCAATGGGCCGAAATTAGATTACCTATCATATTTCGATTATTTTGTGTGCTTGCTGCCTATCCACTTGACGAGATATACCGAGATCGAATTCCTCTCGAAAAGGTCACATGTAGAGTGAAACCAAGTCAGATTGCTAAGGGGGGAGTGTGAGTTAATGGTATTTCATTACTAATTGATTGAGTAGCAGCTCGTAGACCACCTAACAAGAATTTTGATGTATCTATATCCCACATCGATTGGAGAGAGGAACGAGTGTCTGCGAGGATGCTGGGCTTCGAAAGTGGACGGATTGTGAGATCCCACATCGATTAGAGAAGGGAACAAGTGTCAGCGAGGATGCTAGGTTCCACATCGATTGAAGATGAGAATGAAGTATTCTTTATAAGGGTATAAAAACCTTCCACTAACAGACGTGTTTTAAAAACTCTGAAAGAGTCCGAGGAAAAGTGCATAGAAAACAATATCCGTTTGCTAAAATAATAATAACAAAAAGTGACGTATTTAATTTTAGACCCCAAACCACATGTGGCTCTATTTTGTAGTCTCTGGTCCATAAAAATTGACCTGTATCGGACTCTCAGTGCCGTCCTTCACAGCCTACTTCTTTGAAGAACTTTTTCCCACCCTATATTGCTTCACATTAAAAAACGACAAAAATCAAATAATGGGATTTATGGACCCCATTTAACCATTTAAATTCCACCGTCCATGTTCGTCTATCGAAACATGATTAAAATGTGGATCATTCGGTTCGATTTGAGGTTCAAAAATGACAAACCGAACATATATAAATTCAAAGGACACGTTGACTGGAGTCAAATAATCAATAACTCTCTGTAGAACCCAATTTACCATTTGAATCTTATGCTCCGTCTTGATCTCAAAAAACGAGTAAAATGTGCCTCTTTTGATTCGATTCTAAACCAAGACAAACCGTACGAGTAAAATGTGGATCATTCAATTCGATTCCGGGTTCAAAATGTACTTTGAAACAAGGCAAATCGTACATATACAAATAAATAAGCTCACATTCCTTTGTAAGTTGGGTTGGAAATGTTTTTTTTATACTAAACTCAATTTGTGGAGTTGACGTCAACGGGGTCAAATAATGAACTCAACCCAACCTAACCCAACCCAATCATAAATTTTCTGGGTTGAGTTTGTTCGGGTTATTTATTTAAATTTTTAATTTTATTTTATAACCCGTTTAAATATATACCTTCCAAATAGTTAGGAGAATAAATAATAAAAATAATTATGAAATAAAATAAATATATGTATATATAATGGTAGGATAAACAAAAATATACATTTTAAAATTAATAATAAATTTTAATGAGTTGGATAAACACGTAAACCAATATAACCTATAAAGTTTTTGTTTTATTTAAGTATAATTTAACTAAAAAAGTTCATAATTCAATCGTCGATTGAATTAGGTGGATCAAGTTTTTTAAACATCTCTACAAATTTAGTCATGTATCGTGTTATCGTGTTACGTTCATTTATTTAATAATTATAAAAACAAATCAAAATAATGCAATTTATTTGGTTGATTAAATATTAAAATAATGTAACGTATTCTAAAATTTAAAAACATAATTATTATTTTTGAAAATAAAAAATGTTAGGTAAATATTTCAATCATCGCTCGAGTTTTATGGTGTGGGACCAAAGAGAATCAAATGTTTTTAAAATTAAATTGAAAGCATTAAACAATTTATATTTTTGTTAAAGTTTGGAAATTTAAAATGACAATTATAATTGACAACCATATGATTGAGTTTGGTTTTGACTATGTTCATTATTTAAGGTCCCAAATTATTGGTGCTTTTCCTATGATTTATGCTCTGTCTCATCCCATGTAATCTCAACCACTCCCGATTAACAAAAAAATATTGTTCCATTTTTATCATTAAAATTTTTTTTTAAAATCAAATTATCTCGAACAACCAATAAATTCTTAGAATTTTCATTAGAAATGACAAAAAATTCCTAAAATCAAATTCTTCTCGGAAAGAATACATTCTATACCTGTTTTGTTCCCACTTTAGTCCAGACCATCAAACTTGCCTTGCACCATATTATTTATAATCTCGTGAGTGATTACATTAAAGAAGAGGGTGTTTAGACGTTTAAACGTTTGTGAATTGACTCGTTAACTAAGCAGTTGTTTGAAGCTCTAGCGTCTTAGTTTGGTCGTTCTTAATTTCACCAACCAAATAACATACAAAACCACAGAGATTAAGCACCAAAGACACACCCTTTTCCGCATGAAACTTCTCCTTCAAAAAAATAACTCCAAGAATCTCCGTCGCCGGCAACATCACTGCAATTAATACCCCGGAAAACAGAGACGACGAGCTGAAAATAACTCCGACCGCCCCCAGGAAGAAACTTTGCCAAATTACGGCGTTCATCACTAAAACAACGTAGTATTTGGTCTCCCCCAATCCGAATTCCGCCGCCTCCCTCCCAATTTCCTGTTCCAATTCGTGCAAAATTTAACAAACCCAGTAAAGTTCACTTTCATGCCGGAAATGCTCTGTTTTTATTTACCTGGAAATTGTTGTTGATTAACATGCCGACGGTGGATAAAATGGTGGCGAACACGGATAAAATCAGCTGAATTTCAAGAACCAAAGTATACGTGATTTGCTGCTTTGATTTTTCGTACGTTAATTCCACTAACGGTAAGATCATTCCGTACAGAAACGCCGCCGACAATGTCGTCAAGAACCCTGCTCTGTATTGTTTATTGGACACTCCAGCCGGCAAGTCGCCGCTCGTGTGCGACGCCAAAACCGCCGCTCCGGTCGTCATCAAAACGATGGCCATTATCGAATACCGTGTGAATCTCTGATTCACTAGCAGGTACGCGAAGGCCGCTGTGAACGCCAACTGACACGCAATGATCAAAGCCGACGTGGAAACCGGTAGCCGTGCGATGCCGTAAGTGTACAAGTAATTGTCGAAGCCGATGATCAAGCCGATTGCGGCGGCGGATAAAAACAGCCGGAGTTTCACGAATATCATCTTCGTTGAGTTACCGGAACGCGATGCGGCACGGCGGCGAAAGATGTAACTAATGATTAACGGGATGAAAATGATTGGGCAGCCGCCGGATTGAAGCCAGCTGGAAAGCCACACGCAGTTTCCACCGTGAACGAAATATAATCGCGTGATTAAGGGACCGCCGCAGGATCCGACAGCCAGCAATATGCTGTTGAAAAACAGAACAGCCCTTTTCATGGCGGTGCTCTGTTCCGGCGGTGGTGGTTTCTTCTCAATTGGCTTCGCCGGAGTGATTGAATGGCTTGCGTTTAAAGGGCAAGTGTTAATTCGAGATCTAAGACTAGAGAAACAGTCAAGAACAAAGAAACAAACAAATTACGATTCAATTATGATTCAAATGTGTATAATGAGTTACCTTCTGGCAGCCATGGCTAGAAATTTCTCTGTTTCCTGCGAATTTGGCTCCATCTTGATCAAGAACTGAACTTTTTTGGTTATGGTAGTCTGTGATTATGAGAAGATTTGAATTGCAGCCATTAAAGCTTCCATTTTCACCTTAAAAGTGTTGATGCCATTAAACCCACTAGCTATTGTCCCATTCTTTTTGCATTCAACATGTTCATCATGATATCAATCATATCAATCACTTTAAAGAACCCAAATTTACATTTTCGGTTCCGGGTTTTTGAGAAAATAAAAAACAAAGTCACGAGGGTTTATGATTAAAATGGATAATATCAATCCCAAAATGACCATTTCCAACTCTCCATATGGCTATCTATCCTAAAACTATGAGTTAATATTTCATTTCGGTAAGAAACGAAGCTTAAAAATGAAGAACTTACTTGCACTTTTGATTATCACTACTGAATCGAGAACAAACAAGCTTGGTAATGCTTCCTCGAAAGAAAAAATTGATAGATATAACTCCGTTGAGGATTTTGTCATAATCTATTTGTAAAAATGGTTCTTTTTTATAGATTCCTTTTAAAACTATTTCCATTTTTTTTAGTATACCTTTATTTATTTATTTATTTATTTTGTTATTTTTCTTTAATTGATTTTTTATTATAAAATATAGATATTGATTTACCAAAATTATTGTGACTACTTATTAGCTAGCTAACCACATCCAAAATATATTTAACTAGTTAATTAACCTTAATTAAATTAAGGTAATACAAAATTTTATTTATAATGATTATAATCAATTAACTATTTTATGGAATTAATTTTGGTTAGTTCATTTATTATAAAAGCATTTTTTCCTTTTTTGGTATCTTCCATTATTAAATTATTCCACGTCTGTAATGGAATATGAAATAAAAATTATAAAGTATAGGTTGGATTAAATTAATCTATAATAAGTGGAATATATATATTGAATTAAATAATTAAAAAGTAGAATAATGAAATTTAATTTAGGGATTGGCTGGAATCTACGAAATTTGGATATTATCCATCCCAAATCTTATCCAATCACGTAACTTAAACGCGTGATTTTAGAATATTATCGGATTGAAACGGCGGTTACCACATATATGTTACAAAATCTTGAACAGTAGCTCACTCGAATTGGGTCTAATGCAACGTAGCAGCCCAAGCTCCATTTTGGCCCATTACATATGCGCACCACTAGTAGATATGGTATGTTTTGACCCTTTACGTATCGTTGTTACAAAACATATAATTATCCAAACAATGGTCAAATAACCGACGTAAGTTCCAACCATAAAGGCACTTTGGTCAATTGATTCTCAACTACAAATTTATACCTAATCTACACGACTAAAGTTCAAACTATAAAGGCACCTTGGTCAATTGATTCCCAACTACAAATTTATACCTAATCTACACGCAATGCGTTACAGTTGTATAGTCACTTAAATTTGGGATCAAGTATCACGGTAACGTTTTAAAAAAAATTATCCAAATCACTCCTCACTCAAAACTTGGTTTCTCGACCCAACAAACAGCTCAATCTTAAATACAATACAGGTTAAGATATGGAATATTTGGGAGATATTCCGTAAACATTTGATAGAGATATATGGTCGATATTTGGTATCAAATACAATATATCTCTAAATCTGAAACCATTATTCAGTGCTTATCTGTATTCTCTCTCGTTACATATTTGAAGTCATCAATAAAAACTCTCTCTCCTATTTTTTATATTCATCTTGATCGGGTGTGCTCGTGACTGAATGAGAAGGTTCTTATCCTTGATAACGTGATCTTCATCTCAACTCTGTTTAGTGAACGGAGAGAAATCTCTCTCTACTCTCTTCCGTGTAAATCTCGAGAAATAAGTAACGAAAATAAAATTATAAAATTTGGAACATTCTGTCACAATCGAGGCATCATATTAATTTTTTATATATATTTATATTCCATGATTCTTATTCTTACCTCTTAATTTTCACTTGGTAACATATTTTACAAACAGCTGTGTGAATGCAAGTAGCCAAGTAAATATTAGTATTATATTATATGATATTATATTATATAATATAATATAATATTATATTATGAAATAAATGAGGGAAGCAATAAAGTTTGGTTATTAAATTATTTGACGTTTATTATATACTTTTGCGTTCACATCTCATGCTCATGTAATATTAAATGCTAATGGATAGCTCTCACCCACTTGTGTAAAGGCTAATAATAATAATAATAATTATTATTATTATTATTATTATTATTAATACAAAATAATAATAATAATAATAATAAATCCTACGACCAATCCCACCTAATTAATTTTATCCATTTATTTTTAGTTTGCCTGCCTAAATATTTGTATAATTTAATTCAAAACTAAAAATTTAATCCAATTATGTAGAGGCTGGCCCGACCCAAGCCCAAAGCATTTCGGTCCAAGCCCAAGTCCAAGTTCACCGCTAGTCGATATTGTCCTCTTTCGACTTTTCTTTTGGGCTTCTCCTTAAGATTTTAAAATGGGTCTATTAGGGAAATGTTTCCACACTCTCGTAAAGAATGCTTCGTCTCCCACTCCAACTAACGTGGGATCTAGCAATCCACCTCCCTGGAGACCCTATGTCCTCGCTGGTACACCATTTAGTGTCTGACTTTGTACCATTTCTAACCGTCTAAGCCCACTGTCAGTAGATATTATCCGTTTTGGGTCGTATTGTGAGATCACAGATAGGTTGGAGAAGGGAACGAAACATTTCTTATAAGAGCGTGGAAACCTCTCCCCGTGTTTTAAAAATTTGGGCGGAAAGTTGAAAGAGTATAATATCTAGTAGCGGTGGACTTAAGCAGTTACAAATGGTATTAGAGTTAGACAACAAAGCATGTGTTAGGTAGGACGTTGATCTCCACAATCACTTAGAGAGTAAAACAAAATATTTCTTATAAACCCAACCCATCACTATTTCTTTCAGGTGCAAGCGAATCGAAGGGTGGATTTTGTGTCCGAAGTTTGGGTCAAAACTCAGCAGCTATGGATTGGTTGATTGAATCCAACAAGAATCATTTATTGTTCAACTTATTTGATTGTGCAACGTGTTCAAGAATGATTTAGTTCTCATGAAAACGAGAACCCCTTTCTTCTTATGAACAACCACTGAATTATAAGATCCGAAAGCTGTAATCTGACACGTGTCCCGAGTATCTATAGCTCATTAATGATCTGGATCATATGCTACGTGGGTAGGAACCAAAACTATAATGGCCCAAGCCCATCCCTTAAGAGCCTAGCATCCTAGTTGGTACTCATCCCCTTCTCTAATCGATATGGGTCCAACATCCTTGCTAGCACACCGCTTGTCTATCCCCTTCAAAACTTAGCCTCTTCGCTATCACATTAACCGTATTTAGCTCTAATACGATTTAATAAGGTAAGCAACGAGCTACAATTGTGGGCATTTGTGAAGACGGTATAATTCACATTTGTGAAAGGCCACATGATGAGCTGGAATCCAGGCCGCTTCCTCTCACTATCATACTTGAGATTAATAAATTATGAGTTGTTTTGCATCGATAATCTAACAGTAACACAGCCTTAATTACACCCCATGTGGGTTTAATTTTTGTTAATCATCTCGAGACTCCCACCTTATAATACTGCAACACTCACGTTCAAAAGACCATCCATTCTTCAACATCAAACTCTAATAATAATATCATTTTTTGGAATGCACCTCTCCTGCATCAAATTAAGAACGAAAATGCCGAAAAAAAGATTCCCTTGAACATACAGAAATCGAACAAAGAGACATAAAAACTTACATGGTTATAAATCAAATAAACCAGAGTTACGAAACAAGAGTGATATGAACCAAGTAAAATAAATAAATGAAAGTTATGAATTAAATAAATGTACAGAAGATACATAAGACAACTTGGAGTGAATTGGGTTCAAACAAAACCAGTGATAATGATGAGTTGGTAACATACCAAACATACCACATATTAGGCCAAAAAGGACATTTCAAACCTCCAATTACTAATCTTTAATGACGGCCGACCCCAGAGGAAGAAGCTGACGACGACCCGTCCCAAGTGGTTGCCAGCCACACCCAAACCAAAATCACTTTCCTGGCTCTTCCTCCTCGCAATCATAAAGCATCTCTAACATTATGTTAGAATGGCTGGATGATGGGTTCTAGCTAATGTTCAAAGTGAACAATATTATATTAAACAGTTGATCGTTCCGATATTACTAATTGGTGAAGTAGTTGACGGGCTATTGTAATTAAAAAAAAAAAAAAAAAAACTTATTTTAATATTACTCGGTCGGAGTTAGATTGGGGAATTGGTGGGTGACCTGCTACCTTTTTGTCTTGGATTGCTCCCAGCTTTTTCCTTTTTTCCTTTTTCCCTTTTTCCCTTTTTTCCTTTTTTAAATTAAGAGAAGAAATAATTTATGGTCGAGAATATGTCGACAAAACATATAACTAAATACCAACAAAATCTTAACTAACAATAACAAATTCGAATTTATTTACAAGACACAAAAATGTTTCTCTCTTATATTAAATATTGTATACCTATTAATTTGTTACCATATTTATTATCCATAAATATGAATATTTTGGACGAGTTAATAACTAACCTATGCCAACTCCTATCGATACACCTTTCTACTAATATAGAAAATAAATTAAATTATATAAATCTAAATTCGTACGAACTAATAGGATAGGATATGAGTTATTAAAGGCATTAAATAATGTTACCAAAATAAGTACGAGTACGACAAAATAAATATTTTAATGTGAATTATTGAAGACGTGGTGTGTGGACGCAACCAAAAGGGGACCACTTGATTTAGTCTTGTGGCTCAAAATATCAATTTGAGTAATAGTGACAACTTAATTTGGCCTTCTGGATTCGCCAATCAATTTGAGTGAGTATTCGTATTATATGACAAACAACTTCACATGTCGAAATTGTTCGAAGAAAAATCCAACCTCGATTAATTAAAGCAAAGATTATAGACTTACGAGTATTTATTTAAAGAAAAATAAAAAATCATAATAATTAAAATTTGAAAAACGCGTGCGAATAAACAAATATTTATTTGATTTTAGGATGGGATTGGATTGAATCGATGTGAAAGCAAGTAAACGTGAAACATAATGTGGAGCCAATTTTAAATTATTATTTGAAGAAAGTTAGTTGAGAATATGGGTAACAATTAATGATGAGTTAACTAGGGATTAAAAAAAGTAACTTTTTAATTACATTTATTTAATTTACCATTTGAATTATTTTAATGCAAAGCCTACCACTACTAAAATTACGTTTATTTATTAAAAAGAATTATTAAATTATTTTAAGAAAATGACATATTTATATTAAATTATTACTTTATTCATTTATTTAGTTGGACTTGTTTGAAAACACTCGGCCGTCTCATTACCAAACTCCAACTCAACCTTTATGATTAGACTCTGAATTCAGGTGACGTGTACACGTCCAAATATTTAAATACAATAATAATCATTTTCACTTTATTTCTTTTTCCTTTTTTATTCTTTAAATTTTCTTTTTAAATATTAAAATCATTCCAATATTATAATATTTAAGATATGGTTCGTATTTCATAAATGTATTATTATTATTTATGTAAAAAAAGGGATATTATATATTTCCAGATTTGGCAGTAATTAAAAGTAAATAAATGATATCACGTGTTATGTTAGGTTCGATCTAAAATAAGGAAATTGCTTATCACATTTGGTTGACTATAGAGATTAAAACCAATTGGGATCTTTGAACAAAAATTTCATTAAAAAAAAGGTTAATTTGTTCTTAATGAAACAATAATTTAATAACACATTACCTTTAATTAGCCAAGTTGAGCGGATTGCGGATCGGTTTTAAAATTTTTAATGTAAACAATATGAACCAAAATAAATTCTTTCAAGGATTTGAGAAACGATTGCGCCTACAAGTTTTCGCGTTGCTGGCCTATATATGTGTGTGTGTGTTTGTATCTATATATACCCCTGCAGCTTAAGGGCTATACAGAATTGTTGTTCTTTTAGTCGTAAAAGGGCAGGGCAGGGCAGGGCAGGGCTGCTCATCGAACCCAGATGGAGGCCCTTGTGAAGGCGGATGCGGCGGCGGATCTTAACCAGGCGTTGATTCGAAGGGATGAAGATCGACCTCGTCGGTCGGAGGAGCTATGGTCGAAGTTATGGGTTGAAACCCAGAAGCTATGGCTAATTGTTGGCCCGACTATTTTCGCCCGTGTTGCGACTTTCTCTATGAATGTTATAACCCAAGCGTTTGCGGGTCATCTTGGTGATGTTGAACTCGCTTCCATTTCGATTGCTAATACTGTTATTGTTGGGTTCAATTTTGGGCTATTGGTATGGATTTTGGAGATGATTTTTTGTTATTTCAAATGGGTTTTTGTTTGTTTGTTTGAATATGTTTGTTTGTTTTGAAATTTTCAGTTGGGTATGGCGAGTGCATTGGAGACGCTATGTGGGCAAGCGTATGGAGCTAAGAGGTTTCATATGTTGGGGATTTACTTGCAGCGGTCGTGGATAATGCTGTTCTTGTGTTGCTTTTTGTTACTTCCCTTTTATGTTTATGCTACTCCGGTTCTGAAAATGCTGGGACAGGCGGAGGATGTGGCGGAGCTATCTGGGGTGGTGGCGATTTGGTTAATACCACTTCATTTTAGCTTTGCGTTTCAGTTTCCATTGCAGGTGTTCTTGCAGTGCCAGCATAAGACCCTTGTGATAGCTTGGGTGTCTTTGGTGGGGTTGGTGGTGAATGTTGTCACCAGTTGGCTGTTCATTTATGAGTTGCAGCTTGGTGTCATTGGGGCTGCTATTGCTCTTGATATTTCTTGGTGGGTTTTGGGTTTGGGGTTGTATTTCTATACTGTTGGGGGTTGGTGTCCTTTGACATGGACTGGATTCTCTGTTAAAGCCTTCCATGGACTTTGGGAGTTTCTTAAACTCTCCATTGCTGCTGGCCTCATGCTCTGGTAATTCCTATGTTCTTAACATCTCAAATGCCATTGCTCCAAAAGTTTACTTATTGATCAATTTGATTCTCAATTGGGTTATGGCAGCTTGGAGAATTGGTACTTTCGAATCCTCGTATTGATGACCGGAAATCTCGAAAATGCTACGATCGCTGTTGATGCCTTATCCGTGTGGTATGCGAAATAGTAACCTAACTTTTCAAGCTCACACCTACCCGATGTTGTCCTCTTTAGGCTTGGGCTTCCTCTCGAAGTTTTTAAAACCCTTCTATTAGGGAAAGGTTTCCACACCGTGATGAACAACACTTCGTTCTCCTCTCCGACCGATGTAGGATCTCACAATTCACTCCCCCCATCGGGGCCTAGCATCCTCGCGGTACTCTCTCTGTTCCCCTTCAAGGGTCCCATATCGATTGGAGAAGTAAACAAGTGCGAGCGAGGACATTGGCCTCAAAGGGGTGGATTGTGAGATCTCACGTTGATGGTGGAAGAGAACTAAACATTCTTTACAAGAATGTGGAAATCTCTCCCTAATAGACGTCTTGTAAAGCCCAAAAGGAAAAACCCAACGCTCATTATATCATTACGATTATCATTAATTTGTGGTTGAAACTTGTACAGCATGAGCATCAATGGCTGGGAGATGATGATCCCTGTAGCCTTCTTAGCTGGTGTCGGGTATACCCACTTGACAAAAACCAACACTTTTTAGCTTTTTCACAAGCAATGAATGAATCACTAAAACCTCTTTAATCCATATGGAACAGAGTAAGAGTGGCAAACGAGCTTGGAGCTGGCAACGGGAAAGCAGCCAAATTTGCAACAATCGTATCAGTGGCACAGTCAACAGTGATTGGAATAGCAATATGTGTTGTCATAGTGCTATTCCATGGCAAGATAGCACTGATCTTCTCAAGCAGCAGAGACGTAGTGGAAGCAGTGGATTCCCTCTCCAATCTGCTAGCCATTACCATCCTCTTAAACAGCATCCAACCAGTTCTTTCAGGTTCCTCCCTCTCGATCAACACTGATACACATTCTGTTCATGTTCAAATATTGAAGACATTAGATGGGATATTGCAGGCGTGGCTGTTGGATCAGGCTGGCAAGCTTGGGTAGCATACATAAACCTCGGATGCTATTATGGTATAGGTCTCCCACTTGGTTTCGTCATGCAATGGTATTACAAATCGGGCGTATCGGTACGTGCTTCCTCGACTACTACAACTATGTTCTTCGAATCAATTACGACTGACTCGTTTGAATTTTTCTGGAACAGGGCATTTGGGGAGGGATGTTGTTTGGAGGAAGTGCGTTTCAAACTCTGATATTGATCATCATAACCATTAGAACCGACTGGGAAAAAGAGGTAACAATTAATGGAATTGGTGTGTTTATAATGGAAGTGTTTTAATGGCAGCAGCTTAATTTGATTCATTTGGTGCTTGAATTTAGGCTGTGAAGGCATTGAAGCACGTAGAGGAGTGGTCGACACCTCAGGACAACGAGAAGCTTCTTCTGGCGTAATAATAATATTTTAAGTTAAGGGATGGATGGAACTGGAATAATAATTCTCCAAAATTAATAAGTTCGTTCATTTTTTCCCTCGTAATTATAATTGTGGTGTACCACTGTTCACACAATTTTTAATTTCTTGTATTCAGATAGTTCGATTGTTTTTACGTTAATTTATGTCTTCATTAAAATTGTTGTAACGGAAGCGAAAACAAAATCGATCGTGCTCATATGTAGGCAAATATAAAATGATATGACTCTACATCTCAAAACAATGCTGGACAAACCTCGTATAGGCATAACAAACACTAATGCTGGTACTGTATTGAAAAGTTTTAATGCTTGTATCTCATATAACAATGTTTTTAATCTCTCTCGACCTTGCTTTTAAACTCTTTTTCGAAATCTCTTTGTCTCGTTTTCTAAAACCTTCTTTTCAAATTAAGGCTAGAGGCTTGAGTATATGTTGATGGGTCGTTGGCTTGACTCACTCAGTAGCGAGTATGAGTGTCCCAAATGTCCTGTCGGGATAAGGTCGCACAAATATAAGAGATGTGCCATAAGTATTCATGAACCAAAATTTCATGACAATTCACAACAATCCCCGCATTGTCAGAATATCTCCAAGCAGATAATTGATTTGGTTGAAAAGCAGTAGTGTGAAGCTACCGTGCGTTGGATTATGAATGAACACCTCTAAGCCGGGCTAGATCATGTACGTCCTACATGATCTTGAGTATGTGCTTGCCAAGCCCCACACCGCACCAACACCCTTATCACCCTTTCGCACACATCGTGCCCACCAACACCCAGCAACACAATCACAACTATCCATGTTCAATATATTCAACATCTTTTAAGGTTGATAGACCTATTAAATACAAATTTAAAGTTCGCTAAATTAAAGATAACAATTTTTTATTTCGATGATTATATTATATTCCTAATCATAATACATAATTACTTATTAAATGCTGTCTTGTTTTCATATTTTTTAATTATGAAGTATATTTTATTTTTGGGTTGGAGCTAAGCATTATTGAATATTTGTAAATTTAAATATAAGTTTTTAATTAAGGTCATAACATTATAAATATGTCACAACCCAACTATAGGATAGACTCCGCCCTAAAATACTTTACAAAATATTTCTATGCCTCTCATTTGATAATTACTACTAACCACTTCCTCATTAATTATGTTTATTTTCAACTTTATAATTCTTTTTTTTTTTCGTTTTTGTTTATATATTTTGTATCTATCCATCTATATATATATAAATATATTTTAAAAAAATAAATCTATTTAATGTTACGCGTCTTCAATTCAACCGACCTAAATTTAAAAATTTAAATTTCTAACAACTCATTATTATAATAATTAATTAATTAATTAATTAATTAATAATCAGAGTAAAAGTAAAATAAAAACTAAAAATATAATATTTATCTCGTTGGACCAATTATGGGTTGGTAACTTGACCAACCCGAATAAAGTTTACAATCCAATTTAGCCCAATTATGTTGTCGGGTTCTTTCGTTATTTATTAAAAATATATATATATTTATTCCTCGAGCATATTACATTAATTACTAAAATCTCATAAAATTCAAATATTGTTCGCAAGTTATAGCACATCACTAGTATTGGTTACAAATATCAAATATTATTAATCTTCGTAATAATTTCAAGAGTGTAATAAGGTTGAATTAGATTGTAACATGAACCTGCCCGAGTTGATTTAACTAAAAAATGTCAATCCATGAATCTACCCGAGTTGATTTAACTAAAAAATGTCAACCCATAAATCTACCCGAGTTGATTTAACTAAACAATGTCAACCCATGAATCTACCTGAGTTTTTCATTTTCCAAAAATTTAACTTAATTCAAACCGAAAAATAATCTAATCCAAACTAAATCGAACCATTTCATTTAGCGTCATTTATGCACAAAGCCACACCAATACACTTTACAATCAGTAAAAATTCAAAACCCAATGAATAAAAAAACATAACAGGTAACTTTTTCACATTTTTCAAAAAAAAAAAAAAAAAGAAAGAAAAATCCTTTCTTTAACGGATTTCAAGCTCAAAGAAACAGACAAAAGGTTCGAACTATCCTACCGTTGAAACGGTCAGTGGAAGCAAAGCCGGGCCCAACGGTCTCAATGAACCCGGTTCAACAAACGGGTTCCACAACCGAGTCGACTCGGTCATCGTCGTCATCCTCCTCCTCCGCTCCACCAGTTTCCCTTTCGTACACGTCACCAATTCCCACAACTCCTCGTTCTTCCCTCTGTTCACAAACAACACACTCACTTTCCCTCTGCAATTTTCCATCCGATTCAGAATCTCCACCGACTCAGTTAACTCGTCCCGACTCAGCCACTCGACTCTGTTTCCGATTTCGTTAACTCGGACCCAAATCTCCCTCTGCACCAACCGGTAACTCTCCAGAACCAATCTCACAACCTCGTAAACCAAATCCGATTTCTGGACATGCAACGACTCGGGAACTTCCGAAATCCGCTCCGAAAAACCCACAAGAACATCCAATTCCTCCAACAATTCGGGAATCTTCCTGTCTTTACCTTCCACAATTTCGGGATTTCTTGAACGAAAATACAGAATCCGATCCAATTTCCTGTTATGTTCCACAACCCCTGCATACCATCTCACCCAACACGACAACTCGCTCATCTCCGAGTCCGATAAGTCGCGAAACGCGGACAAATTTAGAAAATTTCGCCCTCCGTAATAAGGGGAAAACGCCACCTCACCCTTCAGATTAAACGGACCTCGAATTGCAATTATATGCAGAGTGAAAAGCGATTTCATGGCCACGGCGGCGCTCGTGGTGGTATGAAGCCGTTCCATCAAGGCTTGGATGCAGACGAATGCCGTGGAGGAACGGAAGTCATTTCCAAAGGCTAACAGAGCAGCGAGTCTGGCGTCAGAAGGTGGGTTTCTGGCGCCGTGCGTGGTGGCACGGACGACGGCGACTTTAATGGAAGATGAACGGCGATGAATTGAGAAAGTGGCTTTGATTATTGAGGCTTGATCTTTGAAAGCGTCGATGAGATTCTTGAGCTTCTTGGTCTGATCTATGGCCATTGCATATTTTTCACACGATCAATCAATAACAACTGCGAATCGGAAGGCGATCAAAGGATACAACTTTGACTCTTTTTTTTTTTTTCTTCTTTTTTTAATTTTATATATTTGGAAAGCAAAAAAGTTAAAATAATGATTCACATTGATGAATTATTGTCACACGGTAACCAATGTTTGTATTTTTTTTATAAAAAATTCTTTTCTTGGATGTTTCATTCTTTTAAATTCGGAAGTTTATAGGTAATTTCCATAATTTTTGGTCAGTTTGTCGGCGCCACAAATAATATTAAATATATAAATATAATCGGAGACATTCTAATTCCAAATTATACCAATCGTCTATTCTTTTTTCAGTACAATCGAAATCGTGTTTTATAGAGCATGATATTGTTGTTTAATCATTTTCTATGTTTAAAAACACTTATAAAGAATGTTTCGTTACAATCCACCTCTTTCGGGATCGAGCGTTCTCATTGTCACTCGTTCCTCTCTCTAATCGATGTAAGATCTCATAATCCACCTCCATTTTGTTAAATGAAGGAACACGACTCTCCACAATGGTATGATATTGCCCACTTTGAGTATAAGCTCACATTCATCATCCAACACTTCCCCTCAAACAAAGTACGTCTCTCCTTAATCGAAGCTCGCCTTCGAGGAGGTTCGACAAGGCAAGCTCGACTTCTTTTCTTTTGGAGTCCTTTGTTTCACATTTGAGGACTTACCAATCTATTGGCACGACTAAGTTTAGGGCATGGCTCTGATACCATATTAGACGAACATAACTCTCCAGAATGGTATCATATTGTCCAATTTGAGCATAAACTCTCGTGTCTTTGCTTTGAGTTTTACCAAAAGGTTTCATACTAATGAAAAGAGTATTATTTGATAATATAAACCCATGATCATTCCCTAAATTAGTCGATGTGAGACTTTCATCATCCAACACCTTCAAGGCACAACGTCCTCGTTGCCACATTGTCTGGTGCCTTAAGGGGAAGCTCGAAAGAGAAAATTTAAAAAAGACAATATCTACCAGCGGTGGGCTTGAATTGTTACAGTGCTAGTTTCACTTCAGCTATAATATCTGTTTCGAGCACAATTCATACCGTTTTTATTTCTTGAATACTAAAATGAAAACAAATCAATAGATAACTTGGTAAGGTGATCATCCAACTACTTAATTTTCAAATAATTAAAAAAAATTATGAATAATTTTCAACAAATAACCACTTAATTTTACATATGTAAATACTTTTTGACCGTTTAATTCTCTATACGCGTGTGTCCCACGCGCCACAACTAATCACTTTTGACCGTATACCCTTCTTCCCATAAAAATTCGAATTTTCTTTTTTTTTTATATATATAAAATTAAATTTAAGAAAATCACACAAAAGCCCACATCGGCCCAAATGTCCAGAAACCAACAGCCGTCTACGTTATTGTTGACTTTGACCATCTGTATCATCACGCAATCGTACAAACGGCCGTCCACCGCCGTCTCCATTCCCATTCACATTCGCATCATTTCTATAACCCTCCCTTCTGAACAACGGCGTCGCCGGAAAAAATGTCCACCACTCCGACCGCCCACTGCGGCTTCGATTGCCCAAAAACCCATTTTTCCCCAATTCACTACGATACCCCTGTCTCGAACTCTGCACCCTCGGCAACGCCACGCAGCTCCTCGCCCGATTCAAATTCGAATTCAACAGCTCACTTCTCACCTCCGTTGGCAATCTCAACGTAAACCTCTCGTAATCCGCCCCTATTTGAACCAGCGAGTGTCCCGTCGAGTGGGATCGAGGGAAGAGTCCGGTCAATCTCCATCCCGTCGATCGCGACCCAATTGGACCGTTCTGATTCAATCCCTGATTTGGGGGATTCCCCTCCGGAATTCGTATACCCACCTGACAATTTTCCAATCCGGCCACTCGATTTCCGTCATCGCCGTGGATTCTCGAATCGGAATCGAGCAGAGCAGCAAAGGAGATGTCGCCGGGTTTGGGGACGAGGCTAGCGCGGCAAACGGGGCAGGTAGAGTGAGACACCAACCAAGCGTCGATGCAATCGGAGTGGAAGACATGGCTACATTTCGGCAACAAACGCAGCGTATCATCGTCTTCGAATTCGGATAAACAAACGGCGCATTCCAATGCGCCTTTCCCAATTTTGAGACCCTTAACGTTGGAGTACACGAAGGTTGGGAAAGAAGCTATAACAGCCGCATCGAGACCACGCGCCGCCCTTCTGGGTCGGCCGTTGATTCCTTCCGCGGCTGTGGGGAGGAGAAGGTGGCCGGCGAAACGTTGATCGTTGCACTGGCGGGTGTAAACAGAGAGGAGGGCAAGAACGATGAAGAAGCAAACGAGAACAATCAAAACGACAGCCATTCGTTTGCTGATTGTCTGTTTGAAAGAGTACATGTCCGGCGGACTGGGAACAGTGGGTCCTCCGGATTGGGCGGCGGCGAGAGAGATGTGGGAGAGAAGAATGGAATGGATAAGGAAGCCGGTGAGGACATGGCGGCGGCGGAGGGGTGGAGAGGTCATTTGGAAAAGGAACAAGAAGCAGAGAGAAACAGAGAAAGAGACAGAGATAAGCAACACGTTGAGCTCCGGCCAGTTTGGAAATTGGGTGATATAATATTATAATTAAATTCTAATTAATCATTATGATATGTACTAACTAGGTGTTAGAGATGCTTATAGTTCAATTTTCTAAGCCACCTAATATCTTACTTAAACACACGTTCAAAAATATATTAAATTAAATAATTGACATCTTATATTCAAATCAGGATTTGAAATTCAGATTTAGCACCTGATATTTCTGTCATTCTTTTGCATCCTCCACGACATAGTTCATGTTACTTACCTCTCGATTCTAAAAATGAAGACTATTACGAAAAATTAGACTAACCCATCTACTTTCAGCATGATTCGTTCTTACTCACTCACACGCATCCTAGAAAATGACGAGAAAGTCACCTATCATTGAATAGTTTCAAGTAAAAAGCAGTCTCAAATGTGTTATCAATTCATTCATGTACTTCTAGTTCACTCAAAGTCTGTAAGGCTACGAATGGTTTTTTTTTTTTTTTAAATTAGAATTTAGAGAAAAAAACAAAATAGATATTTGTTTTTTGAAAGGTGTGAGTTGGTGGTTTATCTTTGACCATGTCAGAGGGTTGACTTTTGAACCAAGTGTAGGGCCCACATTATCTGATTATCCACGTGAGTGTTAGCCACGTTAGCAAACAGAACTGTCGGATCCTCTTACAAAATACGAGGATAACGACAACAACAATAATGAATCCCCATTCCAAATTTCTGGAACACTTTGAATTTTTAATTCCTAAATTAACCCTCTATCGTTCGGATCCATTTGGACTCAATGGCCCGTTTTAAACGTGGGCCGACGCCTTTCAAATGGGCCAACTTACAAACGGGCTTACTGAAGAAGTTGCTGTATTTGGCCCGTTATGTTCCTTCAATCACAAGACCCAACCAACAAGCACCACAGTAGGTGAGTCGTTTTAATACTCGTTAATGTGGTTAAGTATCACGTTGTAATCATGGGATGCGACAGTCGTGCATTAAGAAGTTAGTAATCATAGAGCATAACTACTAGAAGTTATTAATCGAACAGCTTTTCTAAAAGAAATATTATCTGTTTTGTCCCATTACATATTATCGTCAGCCTCATGGTTTTAAAACACGTCTACTAGGGAGAGATTTCTATACCCCCATCACAATCCACCCTCCATAGAAGTCTAACGTTCTCGTTGGCATACGCCCAATGTCTGACTCTAATACTATTCATAACAACTCAAGCTCACCGCTAACAAATATTTTTCACTTTGGCTCGTTACGTATCACCGTCAACCTCACGGTTTTAAACACATCTACTATATAACACCTTCATCACAATCCACCCTTTTAGGAGCCCAACATTCTCGTTGGCACACTACTCGGTGTCTAGCTCTAATACCATTTGTAATAGTCCAAGTCCAGCGCTAATAAATAATGTCCGCTATACGTATCGTCATCAGCCTCACGATTTTTAAACATGTCTAATAGAAAACCTCTCCATACAAAGTTATGTACGTTCAGCTGCATATAAACTTCACTTCTCTTTTCAAAATAATTTCAATTTTTACTTAAATTCTCTCAATAATTACCAATAAACTAATTTAAATTAAAATTTAAAAAATCTAATTTTTGTTTCATTTTTCTATGAATAATTAGATAATATATATTTTATAATTCATTAAAAGAAATTAGTTTTAAAGCAAAAATTGATATATAATAGTTATTTTATAAAAAAAAATCCAATGATTTGAAATTTGAGGAATAATTTGTATGTTTCATCTGATTTGAAACAAAATAAAAAATGGAATCTAATTTTTTTTTATTATTATTGTTTAGATTAAACAGTAAATTAAAAAAAAAATAGCTAAATTTCGAAATGATATAAATAAATGAATAAAAACACAAAAAAGTTGAAAAAAAAAAGAGTAAAAGACATGACAAGCAAAAAGAAAAAAAAAAGGCGAAAATAGATGAAAAGAAAAGAGGAAAAGGCGGTGGATTTGACGACGGGGAATGGCGGGTGGTTGGGTTTAGGCGCGGTAGATGGTAGCGTAGGCTTTGGTGCATCCACGCCACGTGGACCCCTTGACAACACGTGTACGGCTGACTACTACCCCCAACTTGTCTCTTCTTTAACCCAATCACACCCTTCCACGTCACACCCTGAAGCATATTTCAAAATTGTAGGGTAAATCAATTTTTAATCTTTTAAATTTACACAAAATAATCGAATAATTTCCCTTAAATCTTTTCGTACCATTTTTTTTCCTCTTTCAAAAAGAAATTCAAAAGACAGAGAAAAAAAAAAAAAAACACTTTCCACGTCATTTGGCAAGAAATGGAGTGACAGAAAAATACAGACGAAAAAGAAAAAAGAAAAAAAGAAAAGAGAATCTAGTAGCACATCTGGGAGGATATAAATAAATAATTTCCACGTAATTAAATCAATAACATTTTATTTGAATTATTTGTTATAATTAAAATATGAGTTATAAAAAAAGAGAATCTAGTGGCACATCTGGGAGGTAGCAAAATGCATGGATGGTCTGTCGTGTAATACAAGAAGAGCCAAGCCTTGGGACTTGAACTATACACGAATATTAAGTATATCATATGGGGATTAAACACAGCTTAATTAGGTTTAATTAATGACTTAATCAGGAATTAATCATTTATATTAACCCATGATTTGGAGAATAATACAGTTTAATTAGTCACTAATTATTTATTTAAAAAATTAAAGAACAGCTTCCCACAATTTGAGGTCCCGACATCTCGTCGTTTATCCAAACACGCGTTTAGGTAATTAAAAATCTTAAATAAATCCAAATCTCACCACCTTAATAACTCTACAAAATTAGGGTTTTTAATTAATTAATTAATTATTATTATTATTATTATGGCCGACTTGTACGTTGTTCCCACATGCACAGATTAGGGTTTCTGGTGACCGGAGTTTACGGTCAACACATGCAATTTCATTATATATAATGTTAGAAAAATATTAATGAGTTATGCATTAATATTTAAATGGATATAAGTAGTACGAAGAAAATGAAGGAAATGATGACGTGCCAGTAAAATCCCATACTTCAAACAGTAGCCTTCATCAATCAATGATTTCCATTATTTTTATTTTATTGGAAAAATACTTTGTAATTAATTATTACAGAAATTAGTGTTTTTTTAAAAAAAAAAATTAAAAAATGGGGATTTTTGTAAATAAATGTTAAAATGAAAAATGAAAAGAAAAAAGGAAACACAGAACACAAAGCAGTAAGGAATATTCGATTGAAGCAATTAAAATCATAGGTCTGAGAATGTGACATAGAAATGTGGGTTAATTTGTGTATATTATAATGTTTTTATTAAAAAAAACAATAGTATAAGAATCCGAAAAATAATAAGCATTTTAAAGATTTTGAAAAAAAAAAAAAAAAGATTGGAGCAGAAGAACAGTAAGTAGCGTTGGAAAGGGTGTGGGACACAAAAATAGCATAGTCGTGAAGGTAGATGATTACCAGAGTGGCTGTTTCTAACCTCACATGGATTCCTCTGCAACCATGTCCCCCTCTTAACACTGTTTCATTTTTTAATGTCTCGAAAAAAAGACATATCTTGTTGATATACATAGTAACTTTAAGTTCTTATAAATCGTTTTATTACTCTCGTTTAGATATAGTCATGATTCATTCATGTATCTCTCTTTTACTCGACTATTACAATATTATAGGGTTTGAGTCACTGTTGTTGGATGATGAACGTCCCACATCGGCTAATTTAGGGAATGAACATGGGTTTATAAACAAAGAATACTCTCTCCATTGGTGTGAGGCCTTTTAGGGAAACGCAAAGTAAAGCCATGAGAGTTTAAGCTCAAAATCAACAATATCATATCATTGTGGAGAGTCGTGTTCGTCTAACAACTGGGTATGTCACTTTACGACCTAATAACAAAGAAAGTTTATACACTTTTGAAATAACTTCACATGATTAAACTAATTAAACTCGATTAATGTCTCTAATATCGTAACTCTAAACTAAAAAATTAAGTATAGCATCACCCGTGGGTGTAGAAGGAAAAAACAAATCTTGTATTTTTAAGGTATGAGGACAAAAGGTGTAAGCCAATCAAATGAGGCCACATGAGGCCAAGTTCTATATATATATATATATATATATATATATATATATATTTTTTTTTTTTTTTAAATGTAAATTTTGTTCTTATTTTGAATCCTTGCTTGGCATACTCAAAAATTGTTGTTGGTGCCAATTATACAATCAAGAAAGAATCTTCGTTCAAAATTTATTGTTTTTCTTTTTTAATTTCAAGATTTAAGAGTATAAACGAGGTAAGTGTCATGAAAATTAAAAAATGTCAACAACACAATTCGAACCTAAACACGAAGAGCTCAACTGATTTCAAATCTGTCTACTCAAGCTAATCAACCTTTGTTGGAAAGTATTATTTTTAATTTCATAAAATATGTAAGAGTCCATTTGACCTCATCTTATGTGGAGATTAAAGGGGATCAGGAATAAATCCCGGCCACAAACGTTTCTTATCGAGAGACTATAAGTACCCACAATATGTTAGGTAAAAATCAGATTAGTGAAGGAATGAAATTAAGATTTCGAATTGAGACGTTTTCCTTAAAAATCCGAGCATCAATTTTGTCATTTATAAGTTTCAAGCAATTCTTGTATTTTACATCCGAGTCATTCAATCAAGCCTTGATCAAGTTCGATGATGAAGTGACTCAATTTAGAACAAGGTTCCAAATCATCTTCGATCGTAAGAGATAATCTAATTCTAGCATTATCTTTTGGTTAATCCAAATTTCATATATGGAGGGGTTAATTACTTTATTCAAGGGTTGGTTATTTCTTTAACAAAAGCTTGAATGGTTGGGCTAAGGATTAGGGTTCTTATCAACGCATATACACAAGTTTGGTCTTATTTGTGCTCTTTCTTTAATTTCGTCTATAATTTAAAATTTTAATTTCATTACGTGGAGGGTTTAATGGAGCTCTTGTATCTTATAATTTATTAACCTAATAATAATAATAAAATAAAATAATGTAGATTATAATATAATGTATTGATCCAATTGAAATTATTTTATATTTCAATCTAACAAGTT